GGGAAACAACACTTTTACAGGGAGAAACTAAGCATCAATATAGCTACAGTAACATTAATCATGAAGAACAGTAACATTAATCATGAAGATGATGCTTAGTTTCTCCCTGTAAAAGTGTTGTTTCCCTTATTCACCGCACGGACAACAACAAAAAAATACACAGTATACATTTTATTCAAACTATAAAAAAATACGCAACTTGTGTGTGTGTACTTACCAATCTGGGGTACATCGTACTGTCGAGATTCACGTCGATCTCTGATAAAGAGTTTATCATTTGACTTTCTCCGTTGTCTATAACCATTGGTATACGGAAACCAGGGGTCAGAAACTTGTTCAGACTGCCATGGCCCAAGAAATGGTTGGTGGCTCCTGCGCTCTTGCTGATGTCTGACCGATGAAGGGAGGTTAGTTCGAGTCCCACTGAGGTCAACAGTAGAATGCCCAGCCCTGCTTGATCTCAGAGCGAGTATCAGCAGCAGCAGCGACGGCCAAATTGTCCATAGTGACGCTCTCCTCATCAGGCTGGTTATTGAAACACTGTCGAATACTTACGGTTTGTAAGCTTTGCTCTGTGCACGCTACGGCCGACACAGGCGTCCGTTTGTCAATGAAACATACCACGTCCCGCTTCTACTGGCAGGTGCTGAAGGCTGATGCTAGTACGCCTGCGTCAATCGGACAACTACAGGTGAAGAAAGCTAAGATCGGGGTTGGAAGATTTAGGATGCGCTGGACTTTAGAATTTGTTTTACTGCATTCAGTTTATTTATACTTTTGGTGTTGAACACAAAACTGCGTGGTGTGGTCGTCTGAGATAACAAGTTTTGCTAATTTATCAAAAAGCAAAATATTTTTTTTCTTGTTTTTCGTTCGTTTGTTCTTTCTTTCTTGGAAATAATGCAGCTAATAACTTTAAGGTTTTTCTAGACAGGCCAAAAGGGAGCTAATAAGCTCATCCCAGTTTCGCCCACGCACAATACCAGCCAGTACCATGTCCTGGTGTGTGCATGCCGCAGCAGCTAGCATGCGGTTCTCTTGGTCCACTCACGCACGTGCATGCGTGCTGTCTCTGCCACCTAGCGGCAAGTGGTACAGATGACATTTCTGTGATCACCGGAAACATTCGTATAGTGAGTTCAACAACAAAGTGTGGACACTTCATTTAATACTTAAGTAATTTACACTTTCCACTAAACTTGGACAAAAAAAATTAAAATACCTTAAATGAGAAAAAATGGATCCATATGTGTAAAGACGATTTCCATATTTGTATGAATGTTAGAAACTACAATATCAACATATATACAACCAAAGTTGGAGCATTAAGAAGAAGCAAACCAGATATTGAAAAAATAAAGTGCGTAGTGCATGTTGCGTAGATCATTATGAATAATTCACTAATACGCCTAAGAGAGCTCTTGTCCCACGGACTCAGTACATAAATCAGTTATCTGTACTACCGCTCATACACTGGCAAAACAAAAAACAGGTTGCCCGGATGGACCGCCTCTTCTGCTACATGTTTTATTTATTAGAAAATGGTATAAACTCTAGAAACCGGATGCTCTCATTGTACGCTTGGGAACAAGTCGTTTTCCAGCCCCATTTCTGAGAAAATAAAATAGCAACAACAGTTTGCTTCTAAATTCTGTAAGGTTAAGATGCAAGACGAGAGTATAGCACAACTGATTTTTCCATTTTAGGAATAATCACAAGTAGCTGTCGCAAAAGAAACTCAGAAAGAAAGGAATGTAATATAGGTATATGTTCGTCTGTGTAGTATTCAAATAAGTAGTATAGGTATATGTTCGTCTGTGTAGTATTCAAATAAGTAGTATAGGTATATGTTCGTCTGTGTAGTATTCAAATAAGTAGTATAGGTATATGTTCGTCAGTGTAGTATTCAAATAAGTAGTATAGGTATATGTTCGTCTGTGTAGTATTCAAATAAGTAGTATAGGTATATGTTCGTCAGTGTAATATTCAAATAAGTAGTATAGGTATATGTTCGTCTGTGTAGTATTCAAATAAGTAGTATAGGTATATGTTCGTCAGTGTAGTATTCAAATAAATAGTATAGGTATATGTTCGTCTGTGTAGTATTCAAATAAGTAGTATAGGTATATGTTCGTCTGTGTAGTATTCAAATAAGTAGTATAGGTATATGTTCGTCTGTGTAGTATTCAAATAAGTAGTATATGTATATGTTCGTCTGTGTAGTATTCAAATATGAAAAATATAATCTTCTTCTATAGAAATGTAAATATAGAAGCAAAGTTTGATTTAGGCTTCTATTCTTATATATATATATATACTGAATGAAATGCAGCCATAGAAACAACCGTAGTTTAAGCTTTTTTTTTCTCTATTATTTAGATCCGATAGAAGGATTTAGCCATATAAAAAATGAAGGACACAGGCATTACAATCTTATGTATATTTGATTGAGACATCGATGTAACCTTAGGATGAATTCTGATTTCAAACTTTACCTCATGGTGTTGATATAACTGAAACATGTAACCTTAGTAATAATTCTAGATTCAAATTTTAACTGATGGTATTGGTACGACTGAAACATCTAACCTTTGGAATAATGATAGATTCAAACTTTACCTGGTGGTTTTGACATGGCTGGGACATGTAACCATAGGAATAATTCTAGATTCAAATTTTAACTGATGGTATTGATACGACTGAAACATCTAACCTTTGGAATAATGATAGATTCAAACTTTACCTCATGGTGTTGATATAACTGAAACATGTAACCTTAGTAATAATTCTAGATTCAAATTTTAACTGATGGTATTGATACGACTGAAACATCTAACCTTTGGAATAATGATAGTTTCAAACTTTACCTGGTGGTTTTGACATGGCTGAGACATGTAACCTTAGTAATAATTCTAGATTCAAATTTTAATTGATGGTATTGATATAACTAAAACATGTAACCTTATTAATAATTCTAGATTCATATTTTAATTGATGGTATTGATACGACTGAAACATCTAACTTTTGGAATAATGATAGATTCAAACTTTACCTGGTGGTTTTGACATGGCTGAGACATGTAACCATAGGAATAATTCTAGATTTAAACTTACCTGGTTATATTGATTTTACTGAAAGAAGTAACTACAGAAACAACGTTGGAACCAAGCCTTACATTTTTAATTGCATTTGATTAAAATATAATACCTTAGTAACAATGTTAAGTTCAAGTTTTCTTTTATTATCTCAAGTTGATGGAAAGATGTAGCTATATAAAAAGCGTTGGATTCAATTTTTAATTTCTCATGTACAATAAATTATATATATCAAAAAAGGGTCATTTCTCCTTTTTTGCCAGAAAGGATTTTTAAACGTTATAACAGCTATGGATTTTTGATATTTTTTCAGCGAAAATAATTAATTTTGCAGACCGTGAATATCTAAGGACTGGAAGACCTGTGTGATAGAAGGAGCGTTTTGTGTTTGAGTTTTACTCATTTTATTATTTTTATTAATTTTATTAGGCTTATTGTAACATGTTCTTGAAGAAGCAGTAACGTTGTTTTATTATTGTTATAATCCTGTTTTGAACCTTTTTTGTTTAATCTCGTTTTGAAACTGTATAACAATTAAAATAATTTATTTTAAAAAGTAAACTTTAACATTTTTGACAAAAGTGAGAATTAAACTTCTGGAGATGTCCGGAATACATTGTTAGTCTCTTTTATTTTCCCTAATACTTTTGAGAAAAACACTTTTGAAAGTAGTATACGACAGATGATCTACCCAGCAATATAAGATACTTAGAAAGTATGTATTCTTTGTGATTGGAAACCTTCTTCATATTGTAAAACTAATCATCTTGCATCCCACTAGTATCACGATCCGACAGACAATATTTTGTTGTAACAGTTCTAAGCTATCACAATTACAGGTTAGTTTGTTTAAATTTTTGATGTGGTAACAAATTGCAAGTTACAGTTTTGGCTCTTTCTCTTCTTTCTCTCCTTTTAAGACCCAGAAATGACTTGTTATCAAGTCTTTTCGTACCATGAAAAGACCCTGAAATATAAAGTGAGTCAAAATGTCTATATAAAATTATATAACAAATGAAAATTATAGTCGTTTTTCTTGTTAGACGGCTTCACAGTTATTAGACTGAGAAAAATTTCAATCATGTGTCTTGATTAAACTGTGTATTTTGTGTCTAGTTTATTTCATCTGGAAAGTAAATGAATGTGTATAAGCTGAGCTATCTTTGTGGATATAAAGTATTTCAGTTGTTGAACTTGACGTTTCGTGGTTTAAACGATGAAAAAGGCTTAATCAAGGGTTTCAGTGAACTAAAGGTTTTATACTGGGTAGCTACAATTTTTATTAAAATGTTGAATATGTTACGAGTAATTTCCTATAGATTTGCTTTTCATAACTTAAACAATGAAGAATGTCTCGGTCACAAATGTTGGTGCTCTGCTGAGTATTTTGTCATTCACATTTAATGCAATGATTTTTTTATTTGTTTTAGAGCAAAGTCACATTAAGCTATCTGCGGTTGGATATACTTTGGTAAACTAAACATTTTGTGTCAGGTTTTTGTGAGTCATAAGTTAATTAAAAGTAATAAAACATTCACTTGTTTTTATCTCTCACACAGCTTTGTGTTTCAAAATGCAGCAATGAGCGAACCAATGATGTATTTTAATGGCCTGAACATTTTTTGTATTTCGTGTTTGCGTATCTTGGTGAAAATGGCCAGTTGTCTTATTTAGTTTCTGTTATTTTTATGTCATGGTGAATGATTTATACAGCCTCATTATTTTAACATAAAGCACAAAATTGGTTTTGCGAGGACTGATCCTCTTATAAAGAATCACGGGAAGCTATTTTAAAATATTGTTAGTTGCCAGAAAATCTTATGACTCTGTTGTCACATGGCCTGTTTTGTACGAATCCAGGTGAATTTGGTATATGCAAAAGAATAAGAAATAAAATAACTGATATGAAACAATATTAGGAAAATCCCGTTGTTAATAGAATTTCGACTTCACCTTACTGACAAAGTACTCGCATGCAACAGTATTTGTAAAGCATATTTAGACTAGTTGACAAAAGTAATATGTGACATAAAAGCTTTTTTCTGAGTTCATGACATTAATCTAGAATTGTGGCTTTAGCTATCATGAACCATGATAGTGGTTTATAATAGGGATCGCAAGGAATTGCACAAAATCCTAAAAGAATTTTCGGGCAAAAACCACCTTAAACAGTAAAGATTCCATTCAAACAACACTTTAAAACCTTTACTATTGAATGCTGATGCTGTACACATATAAAAATGCACAAAAAGCAGACATGTTAGCCTTACAAAGAAAAGAAAACCCGCTCAAAACGGCCCGTTTGTAATTCTTCTTCTTATTATTATTCTCTTGCCAGCGTACAACAAACACGGCTTGGTATATTACACCAAAACTGTAACATGTAGAAACTCAATGCTTTGTGCACTATACAATCGATGTCTTTAGGGAGCCAGCCCCTTTATTATGCATGAAGTGAATGTGTAAAAAGAAATCAATACACATAATATTAAATATTATTACACACATTCGTAGAATAACTACTTTAAAATACACGAAGGTTCATATAAAACAATGTTTTAGACGTGTATGTAAAAACGCTGCTTTTCTACTAGTAAAATTTTATACCCGCTTAGTTGGGATTGTGTCTTTGTCTAGGCATATATTTGCCTATTATAAATAGAAATTTTATTTACACAGAAATATAAATGTTCACTGATAAATAGAAATTTTATTTACACAGAAATATAAATGTTCAATATATTCTCAAACAAACCTCCATGATAATCTCCAACTGGAGCTTAACATTTTGCATCTCAAACTAATGCGATCAAATAGTCAATAGCTACAGTAAATCATCATGAACTGTACCGGCTAGCTACCAACTACA